TCAACATCTGCAGGACAAACAGAAACGGACAGTGCCTGGGCATCAGGGTTGGGCAGGCTGCCCCGTCTCCTTGGGAAGTAGAAGGAAGAAGCAGCAACTGTTCTCTATAAAGATCACAAATGGTCTAAAATCATTTAATTTTTCCACTCTTTCCAGTGAAACAAAAGACTAGAAGGGAGAGGAGGAAACACAGAGGAAACAAAAGGAAAGAGGGAGGCCTATGTACAGTAGAGACAGTGGCATAGAACCAATAAATAAGAGGTGAAAGGACAGAGCTCTGGAGTCCTCAAAATGCCCACGGACACTGAAAGAGGCCTCAGTGATCACAGCCCCGGGGCACAGCTGCTCTGCCAGCCACTGGAATGCCCAGCAGTGGCATGGTATGTGGCCATGACTTTCCATATCATAACCAATCTTGGAGAGGAGGAGGCACTGCCCCTGAATTCCATGCCCCCCAGCATTTGATAGGGTTCCTCATCCATAGGAGACTCCCAATTGGTACTTGTTGGTTAAGTAGATGATTGGATGGATGGATGAGTAGATGGACAGATGAATGGATGAAAGGAGAGAGATGGATGACAGATGAATAGATGAACAGAATCCCTCCAGGAAGCTGAGATGAAGCCCAGGGCCAAATGACTGTGGACTGGAGTTCTCCCCATCAAGCCTGACCTAGAGAAGAACAAGAACAATAAGACATGTAAACTGTAGGGTGTTAACTTCTAACACCCTGGAAAGAACCCCAAGAACACACCAGTCCTGAAGTCTGGATTTCCTGCCCCAAGCCAGGTAGCCCTCCCTGCTGACATCCCAGCCTCAACTCCAGCCACTCCCTCCCCTGCACACCCATGACTGCAACTGCATGACATACAAGTTCCTGAATACACTAGGGATCTCCCGACCCCTCTCTCCAGCCCTTCCTTGTCCAGAGTTAGTGCAAGTTCATTCCTACAGACCCAGACCCAGAATCACCTAGTCCAGGAAGCTTCCGTTGACCCCATCTGTCCATGGCCAGAGGACATCTCTCTGTCTTCCGTGCTCTTACAAGACCTGGCCACACTTCTGCCATTACAGGTAAAGGGGTCTGTTCACACCTCAGTCCTCCCCACCAAGCTGGGAGCCCTGTGAGAGCAGGGACAACAGCCTACATGCCCACATAGAACTTGGCACAGGCTGGGGCTCAGTAAATGCTAGAGAAGTGACAGGAAGAGCCATGAGCAGAAGACAGAAAGCTCCAGCAGCCACCGGCAGGATTCCCAGAGCAAGACCCCTCTCAGCAGCTGCTGCCTTGGTCACTTCAGCCATTCCATGGGCCGTGATCCCCAGCTGGTGAGGAAGCTGACAGGCTTGCATGAGGAGAACATCACAGGTAGTTGTCACTGTGCACTGAAGTCCCACTGAGCAACCTGTGGCCCAGAGAACCAAGGTCCAGCTGAGGATCCAATGAGTCCAGTCCACTCCCCAATTAGGGTATGACTGGAAAGAGGCACCCATACTCACATGGAGGGTCCCAAGGTCAAGCCCAGGACAGAACAGGCCCCCCTGGAGGAAGGGACCTTCCACAGCTTATACCCTCGGCAGCCCCCAGAGCAGCCCCATGGTGGCCCCAGGCCTGGGATCTGGAGACCTGAGTTCTATCACCCTCAGGCCCATCCTCCCCAAGGGGAGCCTCTCCACACGTCTTTAAGATGATGCAGTGTTGTGGTGGCTACTAAGATGGTGATGAGGAGGCCTCAGAGGATGAATGTGGAATAAAGACTGAGCGAGGGATGTGAGGGGTCTAGGTGGGGCCTGACACACAAGCCCACAGTGTCCCCAGGTGGGCCCCAGCACCTTGGCCTGCCACAACTCCTCCACTCACCCACTCACTGCCAAGGCCAGGCTCGCAGAACCTGTAGGCCCCGCCAGCACAGCCCCTCATAAAGTGGAATCACAGAGAGGCTGGTGGTGCCATGTGCCCTCAGGCCAATAGCCACCTGCAGTGAATGAATGCTATTTTGCAAAATGTAAAAGATTCCAGCAGCTCTGTCTTCCTTACTCCCTCCCTCTCCCACGTGACTAGGCTTTTTGAGCAGGGAAGAGGAGAACTTACAACTAGGAAAGCCACATAGCCCGCGCCAACTGTAGCTCATCCGTACCATCCCAGATGCGGCATAACATTGACATGCAGTCGATGTGTGGGGGGCGCTATGGGACATTTACTCCTCCTTAACTGTGCTTTGGGCTTCATAAAATTCAGGACATGTTCTGGCAGTGTGTCATCCTTGTGAACATCATTTGTCCTTGTCACAACAAAGAGGAGGTTGGGTCATCTGCTCAAGAAACCCATGCAATGCCTCCAGGTGGTGAGGAAGGGACCACACTCGTGCAGGGACCACACTCCCAGGTGTTCCTAGGGGACCTGCTGGGCTAGCCAGTCAGACAGCTCATGTTTACTCCAGAATCCACATTTCTTCCCCACCACACTTAGGAGATACGTTAAAATGCTTTATGTATAAGTACCCTGAGAACCTCTGCCAAACCCTGGCCAGAGACACTGGAACCATATCTTTCCCCATGAAGCCAGCATGCCCTATTTCCCCACTCCAGCAAGTGCAGTGCTGTACGCTGTGTTCCTGGAATCATCACAGATGGAAGAGAGGGGCTCTGGAGGGAGTAAACTCCGGACTTGAATCCTGTTCAATGCCTAAGTGGCTATTTGTGTGACCTTAAGCAAGTCATTTAACAACTTTAGCTTTTCCGTTTCCTCTGTTTGCAAAGTGTGAGGATTAGAGAACGCACAAAGGACCAGAGCCATCGTGGGTATGTGAGAAACCTCAGCTTCTTCGCTCCCAATAGCAGGCACATGGGAACAGGGAACAAGACTCTTATCATCGGTGGAGACTGAAGACTACGGTGGGAGCTGTTGGCCCAAAGTCCAAATGCCATCCTTCCCCCCCGTCTCCTGCCAACACTCCCAAAGACTTGACTGAAGTTAAGAGTGGAGCAAAAGAAACTGTAGCATACTAGAGGGTGGGGGGTTAGAAACGACCTACTGGATACTATTCTCACCACCTGGGTGACAGGATCCATACTCCAAACCTCAGCATCACACAAGATTCCCATGTAACGAATCTGCACATGTACCCCGTGTATCTAAAATAAAAGTTGAAATTTAAAAATAAAATAATGGCCTGACCAAAAAAAGAGTGGCCACCCCAGAGGCATCCCCAGTCCCATCACAACCAGCAATGCGAGCAGGACAAAGCAAGCCCAGTGAATCCACCACTGCAGGCACTTGCATAATTAACCACTTGGAAATAACACCCTTAGGCCAGTCTTAGTTATGTGTTAAATCCTCACAGGGCTAGAAACAGGAAGGGGCTAAAATCCTCTAGAAGGAAAATGCATGAATATGTGCAGTGAAAATAAAACAGATGCTTCTTAAAAAGCTATACGCTAAATGCTTTATCATAGCTGTCTCCTTCATCCCTTTTAACAGATGAAGAAACAGAGGCTAAGATGGTGATGCAAATGGCCCAAGGTCACACAAATAATAATTCAGGGAGCTGGGACTTGCCCCCAAATCCGTTCAACTCCAAAGCCAATAGTCTTTCCACCCCCAAGCTTCACAGCAGAGCAAGGAGGAAAGGAAGCAAGGGGAAGGGGCAAGGAATTGACGAGAAGCAAGAAGCAAGGGGAACAGCAATGAGATTAGCCGACACCATCACCAGTACAGACTCCAGCTGGGGAAATACTGCCAGAAAAGCCATCCTCTGAGCAGACTTTTGCAAACGCACAGCTGGGTATATTCTGAGAAAGAATGGACATGTTAGTGCTGCTAATCCCAGGCTGCCCATTACTGGACTGAATCACTTCACACAGGGCAACATGTTCTGGTGAAAATGCCGGGAGCCGACAGGACATCACAGCCTGACGGACCACCAGCGTGATTCGGGGCCTGCTTAGCAGAGAGCATCAGGGCTGCCGGCCAATTGTACCATATTAAGCATTCCAAATTTTAAGTTCCCCAGCAGTGGGCTTTGGGCTGGCTCCTGATGCATGAGGTAGCATTCTGAGTAATAATTAATTAGAGGGAAAAGCAGAATAAGCAAGCAAAGAACATCAAATGGAATTAGCATAATGCCATGCTTCACTTCAGTTTACTTTCAATCAGAGAGGACCAGCAAGGTGACTGGGGTTGTCTGGAGAATCTGCAGGGAGCTCTTGGCCACCCTGTGACCTGTTCAATCCGCCTCTGCTCCCAGGCACACCACATCCCCAGCTCACCCCTAAAACCAACCCAGGCCAGAGGGAGACCTGCCAACTCCAGCCCATCACCTCTCTGCCATTAAACTACCTGGGCCGGCGCCAATCAGCCAACTCATAGGTTATTTCTAGTTTGTTCTCAAATTAACGGATTCTTTACGAATGAATGGATTCTTTTCTAACTAATGGATTCTTAAACTGATGGGCCCTGTCTTCATTAGAAGGCTCCAACCTCGAACAGAGATGTTTATAAAAGAAATACACACTGATTATTAGCCCAAGTGCCAAAAAAATAAGAACGTCTAATGTATCCTTCAACGATAGGCAAAGACACCTCTTCCAGGTGCTAAGAAATCCCAAGGCAGACCTACCCACCTCTGCAGAAAGCTGGAAATTTATTTTATCCCTAGAGGCTTACACCTGTCAACAAAGAGAGGAAAATTAAAAAGAAAAAAAAAAAAAAGGCCTGAGTCTTGCGTCAGAAATCTCTGGCAGTGACTTGCAAACAGGCTTCCCATCAGCCTCCCCACAGCTTCTCAGAGGCTGGGCAGGCCTTGAGTGACCTGTCAGGGAACAATCAGGAGCCAAGAGAACCCCCCCCTCACAGGCTGTGTGCTGTGGGCCGAGCACCCACGTGTCTCCATGTCCATTGAGGCCGTGCATAAGACGATTGTGCCCTACAGCCCACCTGAGCCATCTTCTGCAGAGCCCTGGGCACCAGGCCCCTGAGGCCTCAGGCCCCCACGACCTACCTCGTTGATGAAGGAGTGGGCTCCCTGCGGGCTGAGCAGCAGGATGGCACGGCGAAGCGTGTCCCGGTAGCGGTTCAGCTCCTCTGTCTTCATCGTGGTGAAGAGGCTGGTGAATACATGGCTAATGTTCTTGTCCACCTTTTGTAAAGAGACGTCAAGGCCCAGCCGCGAGGCCTGGTCCAGAAAGCTTTGAAGCCCACGGATATCTGAGCAGTGGGAGAAGAGGAGGAGGAGAAAAATCATCTTTAAGTGGGAATGCACCAGGGAGGGTGTCTAACTCCAACACGTTCCACCCCTGCAGGCCACCGCGAAAAACAAGGGTCCAAGTCTGCCTCAGGGATTCCCCTCAACAGAGGTTGGAGGACACCGGCGTAGACCCAGCCACGCTCACCAGTGTCCAGCCCTGGCTGACTGTCTCCCACAACAGGTTGGATGCCATCCAACAGGTCCTATGGCCAGAACATGCCCTTGATTCACGACAAGCTCTCTTTCTCTCCCTATATGGGCCCAATCACAGCAATTCTGGCCTTCAGGCCACATTTGCTGGAGGTCCCTGGGCCTGACATCCCCAGTCCCCTCCAACTCCCTCTGCTCTCCACATGAGGCTCCTTGACCAACCATGGCCAGTTGAGGCCACTGACTGGAGTGGGCCTGGCCTCAGCAGATGGGCAGTTCAAGCCCTCAGTCCCTGCACCAATCCTGCAAATGCACAGCCTGCACCACAGCACCCCAGCCCTGAGGTGTGGGACCCCATCTGGCTTCAGGGACCTGATTTTCCTTGATGAAACATTCCTCCTGCCTGTTTCCAGCTGGAGTGACTCTCACTCCAAGTCCAGTCAGAAGCCCACATCCTGACTGGATCAGGGATGAGCAGGGGGTTCAAGGAGGTACAGAGAGAGCCCATCCTGGCACGTTGGTGATCACTGGGAGAGAGGCCTGTAGACACAAACCACCCAGGGATGGAAGATTCAACAAGAAGGAACCTGGAAGCCAATATAGTTGCACTGCACGATGCTACAAATCTATCCTTGTGAGGCCTGAGGATGCTAAAGTTTTTTCAACCAGTGCCAAAATCATCTCTTAGCAGCAGCCTTGTAGAAGCCATTTGGCTTTCCCAAAAAGAGACATGCCCAGAACAGAGGCAGGCAGGTCTGAGAGTAAGACATAGTCCTGACGATGTCATTTCAGCCCCTGGGTCCATGTGAGGCTGAAGCCTGTTTCTCCCGAACTTTCCAGTTTCATGAGCCAGTGAATGCCTTCGCTTGCCAAAGGTGGGTCATGTGCAGCCCAGAGTCTCAATCCAAAGACCATTTTTTCACAGCCTGGGATGTTTCTTGCATCTGGCCCATCCTTGCATTTCACCTCCCATAAGCAAGACCCATGCCTGAGTCGCACCCTCCAAAGGACACTCTAGGTCTGCCCAGATCCACAAGCTTCACTGTCCCCATGCCCTGGGATGCCCACAGGCACAGCCTGGCCCATGCAGTCACCAAGATCGAAATCCAAATAAACAGTGTTAGTTCAACCAGGTTTTGCTCCTGACCAGTCCCTCTCCAAAACTCTCTCTGTACTCATTTTGCAAACTTCCTGGTCTACACTCATGCCAAGTGCCATGCAAGCTGCTGCAGGAGTCCCGGGCTCCCTGTTGTGCCAAGAGGGCAGGCTCACCACTAAGTGTAGTCCCAGCTGGACTGTGTGACAGGAGCCATCATGGGGAACCAAGCAGCGCGAAGGAGGAGAGCAGAGCACTATGGCCAGCATAATGAGGGTGCTGGGAGCTGTGCACAGGGACCCCCTACCCACTGCAGGGGGAAAGCCCTGGACTAGGGCCTCAGCACCTGCCAGGAACCCCGACACCTAGGACTCAGTGCAGTCCCCGAAGCCCTCAGGCAAATCACCATCCCCTTTGAGCCTGAAGGGCTCTCTGTAAAATGGGGATGAAAATCGCCAACTACCATTTTCCTGGGACTCTAAGGAACCACACTTCCTGTGCAGGCCACCTGCTTGTGTCTCAGAAGCCTGCACCTGGGAGTACAGGGAGCCCACCTCCTGGTGGTACATGGGGAGGGCACAGTAGCATACAAATGAGAACCCTGGGGCCCTCTAGAGATGGCAAATGTGTGACCATCCAACCATGACCTCAGCTGGCCCCTTGTCCATCAGCAGCCTGGTCCCTGGAGCACAGCCATGTGACCTAACCCACTGGCTTCACAAAGCACAGGGGTCTCGGTGTCGCTGTTCCCACTGTGTCAGACAGGAAGGAGAGCCAGCCCCAGGGCCGGGACGAAGTGGCCAGCACAGGGCTCCCCCAAAGTGAGGAAAGGTAGCCAACTGAGGACAATACGGTACCTTACACTTGCACCGGCACTCCAGGCCCCCAACACACAAGCCCCAGGCTCTCAACACCCTTGGGGTTCCAAGAGAGGCAATTTAGTCTCCATCAGCCTGTTCAGGGCTATACAGATCTGTAGCTCCCAAGCTTCTTGAAAGAAAAGGTGAAGAAGCTAAAGACCTCTTCTTAACCAATCAGAGGGAGTAGTAGGGCAAGCGTGCAGAGATGGCTCAGGAGCCCCAACCAGAAACAAAAGCGCTGGTGTCAGCCCCAGTCCTGCCCTCTCTGGAGTACAGCGCAATGCAAATCTGTCCATCATAAGCTGGAGGACATCTCAGCACCCAGTGGCCACCCACACCAAAACCAGCAGTGGGCAGCTGTGCTGGGCACATAACAGCCTTCCATGGGTGCCAATGAAGGTTTCCCCCTGGATCTGGGCTGTACATAACACAATCTTTAGCCATATATGGCCATTAAAACTTCAATTAATTGAAGAGAAACACAATTACATGCTCAGCTCCTCAGGTGCACTAGCCACATTTCAAGTACTCAACAGCCACATCTGGCTGGTGGCTACCATGTTGGACAGCACAGATATAGATCATATGAGACTGATCATCACAGAAAGTCCTATTGCCTGGTACTGCCTGGAGAAACCACCTTTAACCAGTGTGGTGTAAACGATATTCCTAAATATGGGAGACTGGCTGCCTTCAGGCCCCTGGCAAAGGCTCCTAATCCCAGGCTTTTTGTTCTCTCACTGTGAGGACTCCTCCAGCTCCAGCTCCGGCCTCGGCCAAGTGACCCGCTTTGACTATCGGACAGTAGTAAACTTGACGCACACATAGGTTTGAAAAAAGCATTTGTGCATCTCCATTTCCACTCTTGGACCATGCCACCACCATGAGAATATCCCCAGGACAGCTGCTGGAGGAATGTGGACACACAGAGGAGAGTGAGGCAGGCACCCAGGCAGCCATGCCCAGCTGCAAGCCAGCCGAACTCAGATGCACGAGCAAGCCCAGAGCAGAACCGCCCAGTTGACCTATAGACTCATAAAAAATAATAAATGACTGCTGTTCTAAGTCACTAAGTTTTGGGATCGTCTGTTTCCCAGCAATAACAAACCGATAGATCAAGGTCATCGGATGCACTATATCTGGTATAGCTTATGAAAACATTAAGTGAAAGAGCAACACCTTTGCCTTTAAAAATTGCCCTGCCACAGCTTACCTGTGGAACTGTCCACACAGGGCTGAGTGCTAGTCAGCCCCAGGACGAGGCCACATGTCCACAGGGAGCTTCTGCAGCCGTCCCTTCCTTAGAACACCAGTGGTCCTCACAGCCCATGGCCTTGGTTGTGACCCAGATCCGAGCACAGCTGCATGATGGGCATGAAGGTGGGATCCTGAGACCTGTCATTTACAAGCTTCTGCTCCTTCCAGCATCTTCTAAGGCCACTGCAAGTCTTTAAAATGGCAGAGACTGGCCATGTCTACAGAGCATACCTTTCTGCACGTCTACCATGTGTACCATGAGGGCTTGCATGAGTCCATGAGTCTGGTAGGGACACCCATGGGGCCCCAGGGACCTTATGCCTCATGCCAGCATGGCCAGTCCTCTCAGGCTGGCGTAAAAGTCTCCTTCAGTCCCTTCCCTGAGCTCCCTCTACCTAAAACCATCTCAACCCATAGGACTATTTCATTTCTTCAGGGAATAGGAGATGCCATGGGCAGGTAGCAACTGTCTTGGCATCCATGAGTACACGAGAACATGCCCTATGGGAGGACACAAGCCCTCAGAGCTCCTCTGCACCTCCCACTGCTGCATTTCTGGCTTCTATTCCAGCAGCCACTAATGGGACTGAGGGTTTACAATCCATCAGAGAGAGTTTAAGCTCCCTGCCAGCGGTGGCTCCTCACGCCTGAAATCAATGATGCCAGCTGAAGCCAGTGTTCCTGAGGGACTACAGCCCCCTGGCTACCACCAGCTGCTCCCAGTTGGCTGACAAGATCAACTCTCAGCCCCCTTTCCCTGAAGCTTCTGTCCAGCTGCACTTGGGGTGGGGCTGGAGGCAGAGTAACAGTGGGGAGCCCAAGCCCGTGCTGCAGCCCTCCTGCCACTCTCCAGGAATGGGGCCACGGAAGCCCACTTCTCCCACAAAGTCCTTTTCTCCCTTCAAGAAACCGAATTTGTAATTCCACCCTACCCCATCCCCCACCCCCAAAAAAACCTGACTGCTGCTGCTGCTCACAGAGAATTCCCCAAGAGGTTAGACAATGAACAGATCTGGGGTTTCCCCCACTGGGCCACAGAGTGAGTGCCCCTCCCCTGGAATCCCTTGGCTCCCACAGGGCTCTGGACTTTGTCCCAGGGCCTCCCCAGCAAGCTCACTATACACACTGGCCAGCCCTACCCACCATCCCCAATGCAGCTTCCACCAACCACATGCACCTCCACCCGCCCCTGGGGAAGGTTGCTGACTGAGGCCTTGTCAGGCCTCGCATTAACCTGATCCAGAACAGGCATGAGAAAGGCAATGGCCACTGGGTCTCCAGGCAGCCAGGAGAGGCATGGACTCCGGAAAAGGCCACTGGACACTGCAGGGATAGGGAGGAGCTCCCTAGAGAGGAGTCCTGTGCCTTAGAGAAAGGAGGAAGCTTGGGGAGCATGGGCCAGTCCACTCCTGCGAGGAATGCAAGGTGGCGGTGCCCGGGTCAGGCCTTGACGTCGCCTCTCTGCCTGCCAGCACCCACCCGTTCCTTCTTCCCCCAGTACTCACTGAGCACTCTGTATCTGTCTCTCCCCTGGGTATGGGAAAACAAAACTGAATGAGCCCCTGGGGTTCTTGTATCACAGAACTTAACATTTCAG